CCGTGCACGAGATGAGGACTCATGAATCGCGGAAAACAGAGTCCCTGTATCAAGGAGGAACTCACTGCGAATCGACGTCTTGCGCTACCCTGTCATAGAATGCTTTTCCTGTGCCCTGATGCCGCTAAATAGGAGGCCGTGAGGCGTGAGCTTCCATAGATAAAGACACCAGAGAGATCAGCCAGCAACAGCCAAATGCTAATCCAAGCTGCCGTCGTTGTTTGCGTCCACCTCACATGTACAAGGAAGGACACACGGGACCCCGTATCATGAATTTTCCAAGTCAGTGTTTCGGTTGCTTCTTTCTCTGTCCCCACCTGCTTGAAAAGCTCGGTAGCATTGTAACCTGAGACTTCCACGTGGCAGCTCGCCACCAAGACAGAACACTCCGGCTACCGTTTGACCAGCCCAGGGCAGACCAGCGGCCATGCAAGTGGAGGGCCCGCAGGAGGTTATTGAAATCCTGCACAAGCGTTGCATGCAGGACTTCGTTCCTACTTGTATGGAGATGCTTGCTGCAATTCAGCCAGCACCCGATGTGTCCATCTCTGTCATTCTCAGTCCATCATGATCGGAGGCACTGGCGTACCTGAGCCCGTCGTTGCATCATGCAGCATGCTGACATTCTACCAACCTCTATGACAGCAAACATAATGAGGAGGGCACTTTCGAAACCACATTGCCAGCCTTGGTCCATGTGTTGCCCTTGCCTCTATCAGCGTTGGGATGCATCCTCAACGCCTTGCCGTATCTTCTTTGCAACCACGGCACGTCTCCCTGAAGTCTTTGGGAAAGGTGACTTTGTCGAGCAACGCTTTGTTTTTCTCGCAGAATCAGCAGAATTAATCGGGACATGTGGCACGACGCAAATCCGAGCGGTGAACTCTGACAAGCCATAGCCCCACAGCAAATACTATTCCAGCGCAGAAGTGTCATCTGCTCTCGCCTCGCTTTGCTCCGTCAGCTTCCAATCCTTTGGTGCCAATCAGAAACGGACGCCGGTACAGAAAGATTCATGGGATAACTCCTATATCGTTCAGCCGAGCATCTCTTCGGAATTCTTCCATCCATGCTTTGACTCCGAGCCTTAGTGGATCTAAAATGCCTTCGTATGAACACCAGCGCAGGCACAGGCTTAATTACCAGGCTTCCGACTCCTGAGCCCTCATGATGGCCGCCACGTAGCTTCTTGCCTTTGCCCTGTGCCAGTCGGGAAACCAGTGCAATGCGGTCATCCGGCCCGAGCGTTACTGGGAGACCGGCGGTGCGACGCCCGCCCCGGACATTTTATCCCGCGCCCATGCCAGGCAGTTGTCGAACTTTGCCTGGGGTCTCCGTGCTGCTGTACAGGACATGAGGCTCATTTGCAGGGAGGGCGCCCGCAGCATTTCCGCGCTTGAAACTGAATGTGGAAGATGCTGCTCAGGGAGACCCGCCACATACTGCATGTACAGGTACCTGGCACAGTCCCGAACTCCACATGCTGCAGATGCTGCGCACGTCAATTCAAGGAGCACATAGAAAATTCGAGTATGCAGAACACCATGCCGATCAGGGCCCAGGCCTCAGCGCAGACACGAAATCTACCTTGACGACATAGATTTGTTGGTGGATGGCCCGGGTTTCGATCTGCTGCTGTGACATAAATAAACGAATCAACTTGCTCTGGGCCCATATTTCTTGGATGGGTGGAATTCCGAAGCAGCTTTGCGCTGACTGCTCGGCTTGCAACCGCCCCCAGGCGAGCATCAACTCAGTGCCGCACAGATTCCCGACTATTTTCTTTGGCGATGGCCTGAGAAAAAGAACATCAAGCCACATGCATCGTTGATAGTGCACTGCAAACCATGCGTTTGCGGCGACTGAAACTTTGCTCATACCTGTGCTTGGCTCACTTGCGCCCTTCCCCCTTTAACTTTTGGGTTCCACTGTCTGCCTTGAGCCTCTTTGCCCTGAAAAGACGCCTGTTGCCGCTGAGTCTGAGCCCTGCGGCCCTTCCGAGATCCCCTGTCCCCTGACCTGTGCATCTCCTCCCTCCGTCCCCTGTCCGCAACCTTGACTTCACCGATCAGACACACCACAGCTTCGTCGAGCCGCAGCTGCTTGGTGCTTGAGCGGAGCCCAAAATCCCGGTTTGTGGTCATCTCAAACCTTCTCGTCGTCCACTCTCCTTCGTCTGTTACTGAAGCCGTCGTGTGAAAATAGTTGTGGAGTGAACCCGGTTCCCCCGAGTCATGACCGTGGTGCAGGCCGGTTTTGCGCGGCTCCTACTCAGGTTGTCCTGGAGTTAAATCACCCACCGCTGTGCTTACCTCCCAATATCACGGACATACTGTTTGCACTCTGTGCTCTGTTGGTCTGTCTCCAGATAGCATGTCACATCATGCGCCTTCGCGGTGAGAGCAGGCTCTTGCGTGTCGATGAACCAGGCAGGAACTTGGATAATCAAGTACCTGCAGTTCACACCAGGCGCAGTTCCGTACCCATGCTGGCCGATGACATACTTACGACTTCGTGATGCCATAAATTGAAAGCACGAACAGTTGGCAACTTGCGCACGTCAGTGCTGTGAAGATCATGATCTTGCAGTTTGCTCGTATCTCCGGCTTGTAACCTCAGGGCATCTAAGGGCGTGTGCAGAGATCTGCATCATCAGCCGTCTGCGTGCCAGCATACGCTGGCACACTGTGAGCAGAACGGATGCCAGTATGAAAGAAGGTGTTCATGAGGCCACCCTGGCCGCTCACTATGTGCAGGCAGCATGTACAATCCAAGCAGGAACACGTCAATATGGCACCTTCGTGAGCTTCTTTTCCTCGCCATATTGACATTTGCCGCCCTCCATGTCAACGCGGCCCCCGAGGACACCCTGGCATGGAGATATCTCAGATTCGCTTCCCAACGTGTGATTTTCCCAGGCGCGCCAAGAACCACGGCACTGTGAGGAGCATGATGGTACTACCTGCCGAGCTGTAAGAGAAGGCACTGACTGCCCTCCAAATCTGCCCGCCTGCCAAAGCCCCGACACCAACAGCAACCTCAAGCCATGAGACGGCTCACAGCTTCTCAAAAGAGGCCTACATCCGAGTGGCGGGCATTTTCCTGTGCAACTTCTGTGGGACCGATGCCAGAAAAGAGCACCCTCAGCGCGAAGAGAGTGCACACACTGTCAGTGTCACAGTGTCACACCACGCGGGCAGCACGAAGCTCAATGCATGTGGGGAGCATCATGCCATCTGGCACAGCACCCAGCACTGGCAAAACAACACTCCCGACCAGGCCGGCCACCTGTGCTCGGACGCTTCCCACAGGTCCCCGGGCACGCGGTTTGCATCTCGCTTTCTGCACTAGCACTGCAGGCACTGCACCTGTGGGATGAAAAGCAGGAGCTCGGAGCCGTCGCTGAGCATGTTGGCTGCGGTGAACAGGATGTACCTCGGTCGAATTGCGAACACTTTGAGGTCGAAGAGCTGCCAAAACTCAGAGTGGCACCCGTATGTTATGAAAATCCAGAACAGCATCTGCGGGGACATGCCCTGGCCAGAGCTTGAAATGACGAGCAACATCCAACATGTTTCCACACCTACTTCGAGCCCACGGTCGTTTCAACTTGCACATGACTACATATGCAAACACTGCAACTACAGTACACCACGAAAAACGCCAAAAAGTCCCACATGAAGGGAGACAACCGTAGACAAGCTTCGAAAACTACATCGTTTGTCACCCACCCACAGTGCGAGACGTCTGCATGCCTTTGACGCAAACAAGAGCCGCTGCAAAAGACTGCTGAGGGGAATAGATTTTATCTGATATGGATAAAAGCAGATAAGAGGCTACAAAGGTTGATCGATATGTGTAACCGTTTATGTAGGCATAAACATCTGAGCACTGCGTGTGCCAGCATGCATTAGATGTGGTCCTTTCGTCGTACGGGTGTGCTTGCTGTTTACATACGTACATACATACAGACAGACATCCATACATACATGCATACGTACAGTACATGTATACGTGCATACTTGCATGCATACACATACAATAATGACATAGGTGACTGCATACATGCGTTGACATACCCAGTATTGTGTACAATATACAGAAAAACACCACAGATACAGACGCACATGTTGCGTGTACCCGCACAGAGAGATTATGTGATGACGTTGATAATGGTGCCCAAAATCCAGCCTTGTTCATGTATTTACTGTATTTGAGTTATAGATGATACCTCGGTAAGCTTAGATATATATCAGACAAATACATACGGCGAGTCTCAAGCAAGTTGTGACTGACGCTCAAAAGTGCACCTGCGGCTCGGGAAAGATGAAGTCGAACCTGGGAAGGGTGCGATCGAACTGGCTTAGATTGGCCTAGAAAGCTTACACGATCATTAGCAACCAATATCAACCAACAGCACAACTGCAGTGTTGCGAGTGGGGCGTAGGGCCCACAATTCGTGGTTCATATTTCAGCCATGCAGCATCGTGTTGAAGATCTCAGTCCTTCCAATGCGGCGTCAAGATCTACACTGGCTTGGGATTCCAGGGTCACCCTCAGCACATCTGAAGTCAACACCCATTTTGCTGCTTAGTTGATTGCCACCTGCTTGTTGAATTGCCCAGCTTTGCGAACGGCCGTGCTTCCCTTTAGTCCTGTAGCCAGGCTCGTGGATTCAGGTGCCAGGCCATATCGTGCTTGGGCCCAAATGTCTCTGCCATGAAAAATATGGCTCGGAGCAGACCACACGCAATTTGCATCATGTTGTGTCTTTGGACAACCAAGCATGAACATGCATCCGCAAGTGCCCCCCAACTTAACTTTCAATTCGCCATCACGCCGTCAGCGACTGCCAGCGCCCAATTTCGGCCTGCAGGGCAACCAATGCAAGACACCTGTGCGTTGCTATCCACATTCAGGCTTGCATCCTCTAGCGAAATGGTGCCACAAGATACTTTGCTCCAAAGAAGCTGAAGGAATGAAGGAACCCATTTGTTGGTCTACTCGCCTGTGCAGTCACGGGTATCCAGACCAGAAGTCAGGCCCAAAACGAAGGAGGTGAAAATCAGATTTTCAGATATCATAAACAAGAGTTCGGCACACCAAAGCTGGGTGCTGTGCCTACTGCTCAGCTGCGCGAAGAGGTCACGAAACTCTTCCGCGCTTGAGGAATGCTTCACTGGCACCCCTGCTTCTGTCTTTATTCTCCTGCTCCATTGCAGGGATGCTGCTGCGGTAATCATCGAAGCATAGAAGCCTACTCTGTACAATGAGCTCATCGCGAGAACATCCATCAAGACAATGTGGCAGAGGACATAGAGACACGCAGCAGCCATGTGGATGCGATCGTGCCAGACTGGCTGGTGGGGTCTGTTGAACCAAGCAGTCACACCTGCGGTGAACAGCATCAACACAGTGAAGATGCCTAGACCTGTCTCTCTGCGAGCATTGAGAACTCGCAAGAAGCAAAACCAGCCCGCCAACCAAAAGCCCAGGCACAGGTGCCTGGGAAGGCCTCGAGATGTCACGTAGCTCAAGGACGCCGGAAACTTCAGTGTCTTCTCGGACGCACCCACATAGTATAACAGAATGGCAGAATACTGGCTACAGAGGAAGCTCACCTTCGCCATGTGTAAATTCGAGACGTCATGTGCATGAAGTGAGCACCGGAATTGGCGACCCTCTTCTGCAGCATTGAACAGCATCGAACACAGGGGCGCGTGGATTGCCATCGGCTGCGCGCCGAGAGCCCTGCGCCTCCCCTCTCCTCCCCTAAAGTGGGGACCGATGCCAGAACCGAAATGAAGGGTCGACAGCCAGAATCGCACCCCTCAAAGGTGTTATTGGGTACTACAACCGTAGACTGCATTAGGACTCCCGGCCTTGGCCAAGACGATCTGCAGGTAACCGTCGCCGACCGTCCACGCGCAATCCTCTGGCCGAATGCGCCTGAGAGAGAGGACACGACAGCTGCGTCGGTAAACTCTGCTGTCCCCGCATGAAGTTTTGCAAAGTCTGCAGCGCGAAGAGCTCAATGTCCATGATCAGTTCGGCTCGTACCTCAACTCCCGCGTCTTGAGTGGCCAAACTCTGCACTGCCATGCAGGACCGCAGGGCATAACCTCGTGGGAGAGACAGAGCACTGAAAGTGTGGGCGCACAGTGACCTTCAGTCTCCGGTAGCCAAAAGCTACATCCACCACCCTGCCAAGAACGGCTGGCGACACATCACAGCACGTCACATCAGACATGGCTTTGCCACAGAGAGCAACAGGATTCGAAGGGCCCAAAACCACCATCGGAACATCTTTAACCCGAGAAGACAAAAGATGCGCCGAGCCACGCTGTATCGCACTTCCTCATCTCAGCCCGCTTGAGGACCACCTCAACGTCTCCTTGATCTTGCTCCCAGCCTTGGCTTCTTTGCTGCTCAACAACCCCTTTCTCCCATGAGTTAGTCTTTAGGGCTCGTGCTGATCTGCGCCCGCGGCCTGCCGGTTGATTCGACTTGTCTCGACGTCGTCTAGCTCTGTGCATACAACTGGGGCAGGCACCCAGCTCTGCCAGCGCGGATCTCAATACCCTGCTGCGTGCAAATGACCTGCCGATTCACACAGGACTGCACTGCAACACACTACAAGCATGGTTTGGTGTTGCACTTCACCAGCGGTTGCTCGAACAGTCAAGTCAAAGAGCCCCGCACCGTAAACCGGGGAGGTTTGCCCTCGTCTGCAGCCGCTGCCTGCAGGGAAAAGGCCCTTGCATCATGCGGCGTGGCCGATCCTGCCGACCCGCAGATTCCACGTTTTGGTAAACGAAGCCCGGTCTGCTGCAAAGTGCTTTCGCTGCTACAGTGTTGAGTGTTGTCGTGCGCAGAGAAGAATAAGAACAAGTGTCAGAATAATGGTTCGCTGAATAGGTTTATTGCAGTAGGCTAGCAGAAATAAACTGCAAACTCGACCCGGGCTCTACAGAAGCCAACTCGTAGCTGTAGTTCCCGCTCCAACCGACGTGCAACAATGAGGGCCAGAAGCCCATTCCAACATGTGTTGGGACTGTGCATGTGATATCGTGCAGATCCTTGTACGCGACCTGCCATGGTGACGACATTCCAGGATTGGCCGTGCAGTTAAAGGTATAGCCGGTGCCGGATTGTTGACTGAGTCATTTAAACCGTACGCTTGCGACACTATTCAAGGACCAGCACGGCAAGCCTCCCTTTCTACAGCAGCTTTCGAATTACAACCACCAGCAGGACGAACCTTGCAAAGCATCACCGCCCACCACTATCAGTAGGACAGAAACAAAAACACCTTCCTCATACAAGGGCCGGGATTTCCTCTTCTGTCAACCTGCTTCCTAATCCTACTTCTTCTCCTACTTCTTTCTGGCCCGGCACAGCTGCGGGGGGCACAAGTCGATGTGCAGCGGTCGCTCTGTAGCTGCCGTCATGTCTGTCGCAGTCGTTGCCGAATTGTAGTTGAAGCTGCAGTTGATTTGCTATGTTCTGGTGGCAGTGGCAGTGCCCTCATTCGCCTCCAGTACCGATACCGACACGACACGAGCACAAACATCAACAATGGGCTCCACGGCACGCGCAGGCCATGGACGGACTGGGATGCCTTCGCCCCGTCTGAGTCTGACAGGTGCAACGACTCCAGCACCTGCTCGGGCAGGTGCCACGCGAAACATCCTACAAGATTCGCAAGAGCACAAAGGGCACCGTGATTCCACGGTGAAAGGCAGAAAGGAGCCGTTCCTCGGTGCGCCTGTGAGCAGTGCCGAGAAGTGCAAGTTCTTGACTCGGCCTTGCAGTGCCTGGTGATGGAGTTGCCCGAAAAGTCCAATATCCGCAGAGCCTTTGACATTGAGGCATCTTGCAGCTGCGAACACCAAGAAGACACGGAGACGCAGCCAACGGCCAACGGAAGGATGCTGTCGGAGCAGGGACTTTTGCACTCTGTCTCTTCTGGGCGGTGGGCCGACGGCCGCGGTCGAACCGCCACATCTAACACGGAGAGGAACTCCTCGGCCTTTGGACACTTCTTCGGAGGACAGGCAGGGAACCGGCAAAATCAAGAAGCTGCAGGAAAACAGACTTGAGCCCAGGACCCCCTGGTCTCCGATGCTGTTCCTGCTGAGGTCGAGATACGTCAGGGATCGGTTCCTGGCAAAAAGCGACGACCCGGCGGAAACCGCTCCCCAAAGCCAACGGCAGCAACGGCAGCCAACGGCCCGAGCCTGGAGCTGGCCGACGCAAGCTGCTGCGCACCCCTGAAGGCAGGCTGACTTTTCTTTCAAAGCTCTACATGAGCCCGACCGGCCCCTAAACTGGCAGTGCATGGCACTGCGTTACGGCGCAAGAACCCTGCAAAACTCGACTGCACACTCTACGCATCTCGTCCTCGACCCCACCCGGTTGTCCGACAGATCGATCCTCGAGGGCTGTGGCACAGTGGCTGAGATGGTGTTGCAAGCGTTGTTGACCAAGTGTGACCCATGCGACAACCGCCAGAAATCTCTGAGGGCGCGGCTTTTTGAGCGTGTTGTTGCTGTCAAGCACAGCAGCAAGCGGGTCCTTGCCACTGCTGGAGATCACTGACGGCACAATGCCGTCAGTTACAAAGGACTTGCTTCTAACTTAAATTTGCCTGCACCTTCTCTCATTGCCGATCAGGCACAATTCCTTCGTCCGAGATGGAGTTGCTGCTCAGCCTGGATTGCAAAGACAGGCCAACGGAGTCAAACCATGTCAAGCCACCACTGGCATATTTCCGTTGCTGGGGCGGCAGCACCAGCTCCGTTAGGGTAAAATTCCGCATGAGAGCTCCTGGCAAGTAGCAAGCATCTCAGGGACGAACGGATCGAGACAGCACCCTCCTGCGATCCAGCTTGCCCCGGAGTTGCCTCGATGGACGGGTCATGCAGGCAGCGCGGGCCTCAGCGCCTGTCAGCTTCCTTTCTGCCCTAAGATCGGGTCCAATCCTGGCTCGGGAGAGTCTGAGAGTCGTGACCTCCGGTCCGGAACAAGAACAGGGCTGCTCGAGCTCGCTCGAACTGGTGGACTCGCGAGAAAGGTCCCACTTGGCTCCGTGCCGTGCCGTCACGTTTCAACGCGCTGGACTTAGCTCAGGACGGGTCACAGGTCGTCGGTGAAAGCATCGCACAACAACTTGAAACTTGAAATGACGACCAAATCCCATAGCCCTCTAGAATGGACGATAGAAGGCCTAAATCTGCCAGGGGGCAAACTCCTCCAGCTCTTGGAAACCAGACGAGACAGCCTAAATTGGACGCGGCTTGGGTTGACGGTTGGCCCACTCAATCGCTTGTTAACCAAGCTCACGACGTGCGTGTCGCTGAGATCCAGCTCGACACCATGAGAACGGAAGTCAGCCTCAATCTTTGCATCTGCGGCGCACGGAAGAATTAGCTACAAAGTAGTGTAAATAGTGGTCAAGACGAGCTGAGCAATGTACTAGCGAAAGCATGCCCTTGGGCATCAACTTCTCGCCCCATGCTTCCACCTCTCAGCCAGCTGCGGACTCTACATTGCCATGCACACAAGTGTCTGGGCTGAGGGGCTCCCTCGTCAGCATGGCCGGAGAGGTTGAAGTGACCCAGGATACCATACTGCAGGTGGCATGTTTCTCATGGCCGCTCGCTGGAGTGGGCATGCAGCACAGTCCTTCTGCCAATGGCATGCCTTGTCTCCCACAAGTCGATAAAGTTTACACCGCGTCAACTTCTGACTTGCGACTGCTTTGCCACCGGGATGCAAGATCCACCAGGCTGGAGTCCAGATCCTGACCGCCAATGTCACGGTTCCGCCGTGGTCTTCTGCTGACGTCTGAGGCTCGCACGAAAACGAGGCGGCGCTCTGCGACGTTGACCTCCTCCTCCTCCTCCTGCTCGAGCTCCTGCACAGCACGCGTAGCAAAGAGCGGTCAGGGCCGCTGCTCACCTCGCGTCCCTCTCCTTCGCGTTCTTGCCCGCAGGGTCCCTTCTTGCATCCTGGAACACATGCAGCCTGACCCCTTGCGAAAGCGGTCGCGATAAAAGGTTGAACTGGGCAACCCATTGCAAGTGTGGACCTCGCGCAGAGGCGACACGGGCGGCGCACCTAAGTTAGAGTCTTTCTGCGCATGTTCATGCATGCTCATGCATGCATGGCTTCATATGGCTTCAGAAACCGGACTGCAGACTTCGCGTATACATGCAGACACAGTGAAGTGAACTGCAACGGATACACCTGCTTGTCGAAGTAGCATCTACGTCTCCGGATCATATCCTGCAATTCACCTACTTCAGGCACGACTTGGCCACCAGCGACCTCGCTCGCTTGCAGGGTTAGGCTTCTCAGCCTCACCCGTTGCCCCATCAATGGGATTGCTGCGCATGCGATGCATTACGACGAGAGCTCGGCAGACGCCCGAGTGTCTGTGGGAACCTCGCGCAGCACCGACGTCGCACTCACACACATACACACGCACGCACGCTTGAATCGACCCTCAGGATGGCCGAAGCTGGCACAGAGTTAGCAAGCTAGACTAGCTACATCTCCTTGCCTTCAGTGTTTATTTCATGTGATTTCTCAAGCTGCACTGGACGCAGCGCTCGCGTCCCGAAACCGACCGAATGAATTTCTTTGGACACTGCGAAACAACAGGCTTCTGTTGAGGGTCTTTGCGATGCCCTTCAGATTTCACTCCATAGGTAGAAACATCGCAGGAACACAGATTGGCATCATTGGCGTCGCAATCTGCTTCACGGGGTATCCACAGCTGTCTTCGTTGGCAGCAGAACTGTGGAACCCTTGCTGCCCCCTGCAGATAATCTTTCCCAAGATGACACACACACAGAGCTGCCCCAGTTTACCGGGTAGTAACACCTGAGCTAGGAAATTGTATAACACATCACTGCACAATTTCAATACTGTAGCACGGTGAGACGGCAGGGTTCGAGGTCTGAGCGCTTCGCAGGCCAAGCCGAAGCCAACCGATTCCATTCAAGCTGCAATGCGAAACCCCCACAAGTTTGGTATGTAGGAGAGATTACGGGAGAGTTGGTGGGAGCAATTGTATGGTCGTGGCATTGTATGATCGTCGCAATGTATGTAGGCGCGTTCGTAGACATTGCCCCGACATGTTTTGCAGTATGCCGTAGGATAGCAATGTGTTGAAACGTTGCGCTCATCCCTCCGGCCACCGAGCTTTCCAGACAAAGCTGGAGCCTCACGACTGGCACTATGACAGATTTCCAAGCGGAGTCGCACGCTTGAGTCGACCCTCGAGATAGCCGAAGCTATCACGTGGGTTAGACTTACATCTGGGTTCTTTCAGTGCTTCTGTACCTCATTCATGTGACTTCTCAAGCTGCGCAGGATGCTTCACTCGCGACCCTTATCTGATAGAACTCACCCGGGCAACTGCGAAACGAAATGAAAGCTCTTTGTTGAGGGCAATATCAATCGGCAGGTTCGAGTTCTATCCACAGCAGCCTTCATTGGCAGCAGAACCCTGCACTCTCTGCTACCCCTGCCTTCTATCTTTCATTTGCCCAGGATGTCACACACACACACACAAACGTGCCACACCGAGACGGAGACCAGGTCTGGCAAGTCATCGTCGTCGGGATCTGTCCTGGATCCATCGGTCACTGACATGCCATCTGCACCTTGATTGCTCCAGGCCCCCGACGCTCCACTGAACAGTGCAGCGTAGTCAAGAGCATCATCATCAACCCTGAGGCAGCAACAAAACGTCCAGGTCCAGGCAGCATGCACAAGTGCTGCCCGCTGGTGCCTCTTCTCTCCTCCGTCGCGAGCCTCGCGGCCGGAAAGCTGGAAAGCGTCAATGCGAGGACCCTTTCACCCTCCCCCACTGCTGCCGAGGAACTGCCGGGAGCCTCGAAACGAAAACAGCGGAGAAATTCTGAGACAAGACCTTCCAGCCGGGGGCCTCTTGTAGAGATGGTCCCAGTCGGGGCCTTGCGGCTCTGAGCGATGCGGCGCTCTCTACGTTTGGGTGCGTCTGTCTCGCTCTATTGCTTGCTTGCTTGCTCTGTCTGATGTCTCAGTGATGCGCCGACCGTGCTGCCCGCCCTGGCAAGGCGAATCCGGCAATGACAGAAGTCCAACTCGCTCGGTGCTCCTTGCCTCCAGCTCTCCGACGCGGGATCCCCCTGCACGAAAAACGAAGAGCAGAGCCACAGAGCTGACGTCCGCCGCATCTCCAGCCTCTGCCTCTGCAGCCGGGTCCTGCATGACTGAAGAGGCTTTTGCTCTGGTACTGCCGCGCTGCCCGCACACATGTACCCACGATGCACCTTTCGCTCTCCGTCGTCAAGATCGTCGAAAAGGCTGTCCCATTCGGGCCTCAGCACCACTTTAAGCGAGCAGCAAGAAGCAGCAAGAATGTCTCAGAGTTCCGAGCCTCTGCGAGGCAGTCGTCCTTTTGGGTTGCATCTGTCCTTGGTCATGGGGACCGCTGGGCTGGACTTAGAACCAGTGACAGAGCCACACCGAACAGCATCGCAGATATCTGGGCCTTGGGCCACCAGCGTTAACCTGCAAAAATGTGCAGCACTTGCAGGATCGTGTCGGTGCCAGGCATCTCGATGCACCAAGTCCCCTGCCGGAGGATGCTCAGGCTGACTCCCGCGATGTGACGATCTTACTCCTGGCACGGATGCGGAGTGCCTCATGCAAGCATCAGAGCTGAAGACTCGGCTTTCAGGCCTGGAACTGCAGAGAATCGCCTTGTGGCATGGTCGCGCGCGTCTTACATGATTCTAGCACCGCCTCACGGCCAGGCCATTGGCATCCTGAGGCTTGCGCCCGTAGTCCGCTGAGTCAAGCTGCATCTGCGCTCCATCGAGGAGCTTGTCCCTGTTGAAGCAGGGCAGCACTTATGGAACTCAACTCTTTTGCTTATATGAGCAGTTTAGGGCCAGGCAGAACGTTTGGTGCAGGATACGGCTCTGACGAGGTGTTCCTGCATCGGTGCAAGGAGGAGGCTCACACGGAAAGAATGAGAAATGCCCGAGCCTGTCAGGGACTTTGGCCGTTGTCCTGAACTAGGATCCAGGATCAGGCATGGGAGATTCCACGGCTCCATGGCTGAGCATCTTGCCCGGGCTTTGCTTGCAACTCGGGCAGGCCGCTGGCTCCTGCGCCGAAGCTCGACAGCAGAGACTCTGCCAGTGCTTGGCAGTGCTTGGTAACTTTGGTAACGTGACTGAACCAATCCGCAGGCGCATGACACGGGTCCTGGCTCGACACGGAAGCGGCTTCCACTCACTGGTGCACCACCTAGGACTATCCGCTGGCCGAAAGCGATCTGCCGGCGCACAATATCGCGAAGACAACAATGCCAAAGTAAAACCTGCCCTTGAGCTTGCAGCCGTCGGGTAGGACGAGGCTGCCACCTGTTGCAGCCTTACCGTCCAGGGAATGGGATGGGAATGGGAGCTGCAGATGGCTTGGGCCGCGGCAGTGGCAAACCTCAGTTCTGTCAGCACTTTCGCATGCAAATGACAAGCCCAAGCTCGAAGCAACTGCACACCTCCGCAGTCTTCCACATCAGCCAAGGCACACGTCGGCCTTGCTGTTTCGGCCTGGGAAGTATCGTGTACTGGGCCTCGCTAAGCTGGGTATGATGCAGCGTGGGGCCTTTTACCGTTGGCCGCCAGCCAGGTGGCGGCGCTCCAGGGCCGCGGGTCATAGCTCTGTGCTGCTGATGTCTCCAGAAACTGCTACTGTTGCTGTCTGTACTAGCGTATACGACCAGTAGCGTGCGAAAGCGCCATACTGGTGTATTGACTTGCGGGCTCATCTACATCCAACTCCATGAAATCAAGCTGCACGCGACCGCCATGCAGAACTACTGCATTCAGTGGACCTCCTTTCAAAGGGTGCTTCTTCAGTGCACCATACTAGCAAGCCCGAATCGAAGTCACGGCAATCGCAATGAACCAAACATAACAAGCAGCAGGATACAAGTCATTTCCAAGCCAGCCGACATGCAGACAGAGAAGCAAGCTGTTAGCTGCTTTTGTCCTCTGTGGGCTGCACTCCTCGCGCGGATCACTCCTCGAGCCACTGAGCGGCAGGAACGTTACAGAGCCGCTCACGCATCCGGTCCTCGGCAGGTGCCTCCTCTTCCTCAGCCTCCTCCTTGGAGTCGTCTCCGGCGCCCACCTGCTCAAGCCATTCACAGCCAGTCTAAGTCTGAAGCCGCTTTGACTTGTCTAGATTTCCTCCCGGTACCGGAAGTTGCAAACCTTGAACTCGTTTGTGCTCATCCACTTGGCGTCAATCGGCAAGCTGCCCACGTCTGACAAGCGAATGCACCTCCGAACAGCGACGCAGAGGCTAGGTTTACAAGATCCCGAGGGCTAAAGAAAGGGAGGGGTAGATAGGTTTTTATAGTGTTCCAAAAGCATTCTAGAAGCATTCCTGAAAAACGTGCGGAAAGCATTCTGATTTTGATGCAGAGCTGAGCAGTTTTCCAAAATGCGTTCCACGGGGACCCTCTGACCAAAAAGTGTTCCAAAAAGCATTCCAACGGAGCGCTTTGCAGAACACTTTCCGGAACACTTTTTTGGAACGCTTTTTGGAATGCTTTTGACCTGGATCTGGAGAGGACGGGCCCCCGAAAAGGCATTCCAAAAAGCATTCCAAAAAGCGTTCTCAAAAAAGCGTTCCGCCAATGACCTGCTGCTGAAAAAGTATTCCAAAAAGTGTTCCAAGATGTGTTTCCAGCCGGAAGCTTTCAGATTCAAGGGTGCTCTCTCGGAATGCTTTTCGGAACACTGTCGAATCTGGAACACTATTCCCCACGCTTTTCTGGAACACATTCGGAATGCTTTTTGGAACACTATTAATCAATAATCAGGATTCAGGCCTTTGGCTCCTGGGGGATCTTGTAAGGCTAGGTCCAGCATGGTCCAGCTGTCGTGGCAGTGCTGGCACTGCTTCCACGCTGCACGGACACGGATGGCAACCAGGAAACAACTCGAAGCACCAATGTACAGAGTCACCCCCCCCTCCAACAAAGTGCCTGCCACCATTCTCCTCGATTTTCTCGCGAGCAGCTGGCTCGAAGGCATGAGCGAAAACCTGCTTCAACTGAAGGCTCGGAAGCTAACGGGGACGGTGTTCAAGCAACGCTCTTGAACGAGATCTGCCATAGCAATCAGTGACCCTCAGTTCAAGGACGATCTGTCGCAAGGAAGTTCAGTGTCCCGCTGTGAGATTCTTCACGGTCAGCTCCTTGGCAGGACCCGACAATCCTCAAGCCGACTGAGGATCAAGCCAACCTTTATCCTTTATCCAAGGCACGTCGGTCTCCTCTGCCTTGATCTTCACCTTTTTGATCAGAAAATTCTCGCAATCACCGCCTAACTCAGATAAACCTCAGGGCCGAGCTCTGTCGAACCTTTTTCGCGACGGGACTGGCAGTCCTCGGACGAACAAGTCCATGTAGTCCACCTGAGCCGGGGCTGCGTTCCTAAGACCACGACTCCACATCTACCTCACAGGCCTCGTCACCATCGTCGCACATGTTGAGTATCTTGGCAGCATGCGCTCTGTGTGTCAAGATTCGCATGCAGTCTTGCAAAGGCTCAGGTGGATAAGTCTTTTCGCTCGGAGATTGTCGTCTAACGCTGTAATTTCGACTGCTATATTTCCGGTCCAGTCAGCCTCCACCTGACAGCCGCACGCGCAAAGAATCGATAGCATCTCGTAGAAGTTCCTTGTATCCCCTTCGCAGTGCCGTCGCCATTTGCAGATTGGACGAAGAAGAGTTGCCGTCATCCGTGTCCTCTTCAAGAGATGTTGGAAACAGTGACCATGACGCAGTCTCCAGGGCATGCAAGTACTTCTCCATGCCTTGCAGGGGAGTGGCAGGTAGATGCAGGCAGCATGTGAACAGCGACACAGGATGAATGCGATCCGCATGTCGAGGTTACTGGCCCGGTGCCCGTTGCCTTCAGGACTGGTTCCCCAATGCGGTGCATCTGGGCTCTCTGTGACTGCTAAACCTGACAACGCAGCTTCAAAAGCACCCGAGCAGATCGTAGCATGCAAGCACACAGGCTGGCGCCTATCGTATCAAGCCAGAGGGGGTTCCACTGTAGACCTCCCGGCCTTCTTCCAACCTCATGATGTCAACACATGTCCGTTTCAGGCAGGGCCTAGTATCATGGCATGAGCACGAGGCATGGCAGAAGTTCTCCCAGCTGTGAATCTTGCCAGCAAGGTTCGAGAAACATGCTGAGCCCGACCCCCTCTTCATCCGGATCCGGCAACTGCTTCTCAACCTCGTCCTTGCGAAACTTGGCAAAGTCCTCCGGTCGGCATTTCAAAGCAGGGCACCAGCCGGAGGGACCTAAACTGACCTAAACCACTCCGGTCGATGCTGTGACTGCTTAGGGCTTAGGCTGGTCTGCAGAATAGTCCTCAGGGCTGCCGGAATTGCAGACAGAAAAGAGAGCATTTCGCATGTCCACTGGTCTGGCCATGATCCTGTTGTGAGGGTTCTCCTTCATGATGAAGCCAGACTGTTGCAACAGCAGATGGTTCGGGTCCTCACAGTAGAGGTGGTTCAGGGAATCACCAGGAGAGAGGTCCATCTTGGACCTTAACCGCCAACACGGACTGTCGTTGGTGGGCGTCTCCCACTCACAACTTGGGTAAAAGCGATGGTTCAAAAGGTCACCGATCGGCATCATGGCTCTGGATGTATCGGACCCAAAGCGCCGACCCATCACCAGCTGCATTGCTTCTCGAAATTCTGTATCGGGGAGGCCGCTGGCTTCTGCAATCTGCGAGATGACTTGGGAAGTCACCTCCAGTGACTCTGTCAGCGGGATGTTCTCCAGAGCTTCCAGATCTGCTGGCTCGTAGAAAAGTGGAAAGGTGTGGCTACAGTCGAGCATCCTCAAATATGTCCACCAAGGCGACGCCTCTCCTTGCTGACGCTCGACTGCCACGGCCAAGGCGAGCTCTACGTCGGCCTTCGCAATTCCCCCTCGTTCCATTGCTGGCTCCAGATCTGACAAAATGTCGTCGTAGCATCCCGGCACCGAGGACAGACAGCAGCTCAGTGGAATTTCAAGCAACAGCTCTCCTGCTCGTATATCTTGCGTGGCTGCGCAGCCACGCTCTGCTCGCTCTGCTCTTGAGTCTCCGTCTTCCAAGATGTCTCTCTCGACCAGGCCGACTGCCTGGTTGACGTAGGCTCCCCGTGCACGCAGCCAGTCGACTAGCTGCGTGTACTGCTCCGCGTCTTTCTCAAAGTCTGACGCGGAGCAGCGTCTCCTGGGTGCCTGCCTGCCCGGCCTGCCCGGCCTTCCAAGGAGCCTCGGGCAAAGCCAGAAAGCTCCGACAAGTCCGGCGACGGCCGCCGCTTCAAGTCGCCTTTGGCTGAGGCCGGCCTTGCGACAGCGGCTCGAAGTTTGCGAATAAACCTGCCAAATAGGAGTCGAGACCAACGGCACTGGAGTCGACCTTTGCAACTCCACCAGAGGACTCCACACAAGGGGGCTGCGATGCAGCATGATCAAAGGCTATCAAAGGAACCTCAAGCTGGCAGGCCGGATTCCTTCAGCCGGACGGAGGACCCATGCGGCCTACTTAGGTACTAAGACTAAGACTGATTGCTGGCATGGAGAAGTGGGCTGTTGGACTCGTGAAGCTTGGGGTTGAGGATGGGGAGGATGGAAAGGCGCTGTGCCGTGTTTCATCAGACAAGTCTTGGGCCTGCAGAGACGTCCTCAAGCAGTCTAGACTCTAGGCTTCAGCTAAACCAGCCTACTGCCAGCTGGAACTAACGTTGGCTATCGTTGGCTCCCGTATCTCCCGCGCCTGCGAAGACTGTGACACGACAGTGAACTTGGAAAATAAAGCCGAAATGGAGATGGACAACGAAGCTCCTAGTCCTAAACTACAGGAATGCCTCGGGGGTTGGAGCGCGTCCAGTACAAAGCAGATGCAGTGCCGCTCGGCTGTGATTCTATGATTCTGGGGCCAGCACTGAGAACGTGATCGGCGTGAAGGGGTCTTGCTTCATGGAGTCGCGTTGCTGGACAGGGCTTCGAGCTGTCCAGCACCGACTAAGGCAAAACAAACTCGTTTCTGCAAACTGCAGCGACTCAACATGGAAAGGCACGTCTTTCGTGAGCTTGGGAGTCTTCAGGTGCAGCGGCTTCTGGTTGCCCTGACACGATCTCCGAACTCGCCGCTAGAGTCATCTGACACGTAGGCAGATCCGTACAAGCCCACCTCGTAGCCAGGGTTCAGGGTACGGCGTCCTCGCTTGGCAGCCCCGTTCTTCGTGGATCCATAACCTGATGTACAGCACCACGGTACAGACTGAAGCAGAGCAACAGCATCAGGCCCTCACCGCAGGTTCGGCCGTGATGACCGTACTTGCCACGACCACGCTGAATCCTCGAGGCTTGACGAATGGATGGGGGGTGCTGGCCACAGGGCGAAGGAAAGGTCCTTCGCTTGTTGCTGCCCGGAGCAGAGAGGAGGTTGTGAACGCACAACTCGAAATTATCAACATCGTGCCCTCGGTCCAGGCTGTGCTAATCCAGGACGACGGCCCATGAAAAGCTGCGAGGCTACAGCTACTACGTTCCTCAGGCTACTACGGAAGAGCTCCTCCCCGCGGCGCCTGATGAACTGATCTACCCACCGGACCTAATAACTTTCGAAACGCTCGCAAGAAGCTTGAGATCGCTTCAGCGGACACGCCTGGACTCACGCCGCCTACTGTCCCACAACTTGGCACCGCCCTTTGCGGGGCCGTCGTAGCCATTGTTCCGGATCCACCAAACTTGGGCCTGACCAACAAAGACGTGCGCCTGGCTACATTCTCCAAGTAGGTCGTGCCGTCGTGCCTTCATGCCCATGCTCGCCACACCTCACCAGAGCGTCTCATCCCAAAGCCCCACAAGCTTTCTGTCCCTGTCTTCGCCTGACTGAGCCTGCACAGGCTGCTGGGGCTCAGGAGCTGCCTGCGTTGCACCAGGGCCCAGGGTGCTGATGACCGAAGATGCGTGGACTGGTTTTGCGCGATAGGACAAGTCAGGAAGCTTGTGTTCACGGGTCACAGCGGATCCTGGTGGTTCCAGACGTAAGACGATGCACACGGCGTTCCCATAAAGCCACCTGCATGACATGGGACCACATGTATTTGCTGTCAGCTGAACACTTCACAGTTTAACTGGGTGGCTTACTGCTGCTGCTCGAGAATGCATTGCCTTGGTGTCACTGCAACCCACACCAAAGCAAAAGGCGTTGCTTCACTGTGCTAGCATTGGCAACATGGAAACCTGGCAAGGAAAGCATCCGGTGCGGCACTGACATGGCGAGGTGAAGTGTGTTAATTGCTTTCATCCTGGTCCTCCTTCGTGTTCTGCTGTCGTTGCTGCTTTATTCACATTCCGACTCGCACACCACTCTTGCCAGCTGATACTGCTAGCTTCTCCTGCCGAAACTCTTCCTCTTCCTGCTCCTGTTGACGAAAGGACCTGAATTCTGAAAATGACATCAGACAACACGGCTTGAAAGCATCAACCGTGAAAAAGGAGCAAGGCCTTCAGCATGGTGGGCAGCCGCAGCCGTGGTGAAAGGGATCAGGGACACACTCTTACTTTTCCTGTGCCCCCCTCCACGGCAGAAGAGGCTTTCAATCAGATCTTAACTAAGCCAAATCCTTGACAGAGGGCTTAGCGCCTGTGACCCGCCACTGCATTCCCCGGTCCACTTCTTTGCCCAAATATCGACTCGCTGGCATGGTTCTGCTTGGCACGTGTCCATTTTCTTGGTTCAGCTCTTGTGGTGTTCCTGGAGTCCTGGAGCCTCTGCACTGCCGACGGGGCCTACCGGACACGAACTCTGCAAAACTGCAAATACACTGCAAGTAGTCTGCACTCCAACCCGAGTTTGGGAATAACAAAGCGACAGCGGCGGACAATGTAGAGACCAAACGATTCTGTCGGGAGGCACTGCTTCCCTTGAATGCTTGGAAATCATTTCTTGTAAGGCGGTGACACTGAAGCGACCGGCTCTTGCGTTGGCTACGGACTGCGAGGCCACCGGCCGCTAGCAAAGCCGCTACCTGACAAACGATGCGATGAAACCTTGACAGGCGCACCATGATGTACACAGCTGGGTATCATGCTGCACCGCACATGGCCCCACCAACAGCACCATAACCTTGCGCAGGTTCATTCTAAATCAAGGTGCTGCCAAGGCCGAGTTCTTCCGGGCCTTCTGAAGAATGCTGGGCTGGCAGTCCTGCACCAACCGCCTCAGCCAGCACTAGCTCTGTAAGGCAAGCGAGCTTCTGGCATCACTGGGCGGCCTGTGCAGACAGCCGTGGAGGAGAGAGAGCCTGCTCAAGTCTTCCACGGACATCTACGGACCGACTCGCTTTTGTCTCACTGTGACCGGCTTCCAGCCTTGGGGGAGGTAGTCACAGCAAAAGCTTCGGATAGGGCATAGGCAGCAAGCAGCGCCGCGCAGGCTACAACCTGGATGCTCACAAGCAAGAACTGCACAAGGTTCAGAGCAAAGCATCGAAAGCTCGCCGGGCAGACCAGCAGCGGCGTGCGATGCGGTGGCGCCATGGCTGCCACCACCTGAAGAACAGACGCACACACACACACACACAAACACACACACACACACATGCACACGCACTCAAAAAAGCTCGATGGACAGGGATCGACTCAGCATCGCGGCCTTCCGGATGTTGGCGCACCGTGTCGGCACCCCTTCGAGCGGATTTTGGACCAGAGCGCCGCATGGAGTGCTCAGGCTCATAGCAAGTTTGCTGCAGGCCCTGAATAAGCTCCATCGACCAGTCATGGATGCACTACTCTTCATGTCAGATATCCGCATGAAAATGGCACACCAAAAACCATGCACGCAAGCCCTCTTTTGCATGGTGGATTGGTGTGGCTGCCGACTCCCGGGATGTTCCTTCGGTCGAAGACCTCAGCCAAGAAAGAGGCCGTTTCGAAGCACAGGAGGGTCCCCTCCTTCAGGGCCTACGGCACCTGTGGATCGGGAACCCTCCTTGTACAGAAAAGAGTTCCAAAATTTTGTGCCGTCCAGAAAGAAGCCTGTACAGGAGGCAGCCACATCCTCACCGGGCGCCCTGCGCGGGCCCATGGGTGAGGTCAGAAGGATCGTCGAAAATACGATCTTCCAGGATAGAGCGGATGAGGGAAAAATGCTCGAGCACGGGTTCCACCGGCAAACAGAGAGATGGAGTGAAACCTTGAAAGTTGGGATGAGTCAGATCATCAGCCCAAGTGTTGAAGTCACGCTTGACGTGGGAGGGTGCGAGCTGCATACCATGCCGGTGCAGCTGGTACAGTATCTCCATGAGGATGACCGACGTTGGCATCCTCTTGGACTTATCGTTCAGGAGCGAGTACACATTCCCTTGGTTGTCGCTGACCAGGGGGAGCCTGAGGTTCGGTATGAACGCAGGCGCCTTCTCCATGAGAAAGTGAGAGAGGATCAGTGTGCCAAACATCTCGAGGGCAGCAATGCGCTTTTTCGGGCAGCCCTTGTCAAATGCCCATGGATGCCGCTCTGCAGTGACCTGGTAGTGGAACCAGAACACTTCCGACTTGGACGGGGAGTCCGCGTTAGAGAGCCAGCCGCCCACATAGGCGCTGCCATCATCTGAGGCGCTAGCATCACTGGCCCCCGACCAAATGGCAAGCGGGGCATACGGCGATGCTTGTCGGAACTTCTGGTCAAAAAGAGAGAGGAGCAGAGCCGAGAGCGCACGGATAAGCTTACCCGGACGTCCTGCTGTCAGGCAGGCCTTCTTCCAAGCCCAAAAGGGTTGGAGGAAAGGCTTGGTGAGGGGGCAGGCCGTTGTCGCCCACTGCAGCCTACCCAACGCGCTAGCGATCTGAGAAGCCGACATGACTTTACCGCTTTTAAGCTCTTCAAGAATGCCGATGACAAGCAGGTGCTTGTCTCGGGCCATCTGCACACAGGGTCCTTTTGGGTCAATGACAAAGCCAAGCCAAGTATTAACCTCAGCAAGCAGGGTTTTCTTCCAGCTCAGAGGAGTGCCTAGAGCAAGCAACAGCAAACAAATCGCTGTTGCCAGCAGAGGGGAATTCGATTTACGGAGTAGCCAGGCAAAGTCGTCGACAAAGACAAAACCCCAGTCGACCTCGGGAAACACGGCATACACAATCCTAAGAAGGATGGCAGCCATCCTTCCCCAGTAGAGCTGGGCACTGGCCATTCCATAGGTGCCTACGGTGTTGACCCACCATTCCTCACCAAGCTGGGCAACTTGGTAACGCCACTCTCTTAGGAGAATCTTGATTCTCCTGTGCGCCTTCGTAACATCAGCTTTGAGCAAAATCCAGTCCTCGTCAGAGCCCGGGAAGCTCCAGGGTCGGCCGGAGCCGGCACTGGAGTCTGCGTTGCCAGAGGGGCCGTCATGTTCTCGGCTTGTCGCCCCTGGGGCAGTAGCCAGGGTTGCCTGCTCTTCAGGATCAGGGCCATGGGCACCTGGTTTCCCACGAGAGCGAGATGCCCGAAGCCAATGCAGGCATTGGACGCAGTCCATGACCGTCGGGGCCGTGGTTTTCTCTACGGTATTCTGTTGTATACGGAGATTAGCACCACCCTTAGACCCGTCGAAGATGGAACGGATCTTGTCCGACTCATCAATCCCTGCCATGGGGCAGGGGCAGAGCTCGTCCTCTGCACATTGGCAGTGCGCCGCTGCCTCGGCGCGGGTGCACGGTCCAATGACCATGCCCAAGGGGGTTTCCTCCACAAAGGTGGCCCGAATCTCCTCCCTAAATGTGTCCGCGGAGGAGTAATTGGCATGGCCAGTGGGGGGTGGAGCTTCCACCGGGTCCCACTCTTCACCAATGAGTTCCGACTTCAAGGGCCAGACGCCCGGAGATTGGAGAGTAGGGGTATCCACTCCAAGAGGGACTCCTTCTTTTAGTATCTGCGGATACTCAGCATCGACATCTTGGATGTCACACAGGAGCCTCCTGATCACGTCCAAGTGAAAGGGCTGTCCAGCATCCGGTTGGGTGTGCCGGGGCAAGATGAAATCACGGATCTCGTTGAGAACAGATTCCGGGAAGGGGTGCTGCTTGGCACCCGCGGCCGTTGAGGCTAGAAAAGAGGGGACCAACGGCCCCGCCTTTTCGCGAATGAACTTGCCCAGAGCAGGAGCCGTCGGTCCTTTGCGAAGGTGTGGAGGGGTCCTACCCGGAGAGGTCTTACCTCCACCATCCCTTAGGGGCCTAACCTTAAAGCCATGGGTCACACGCATTGTGGCATCGTCTAGGGTAAGCTTCTCCGAGAGCGGTAGCGTCGAAGGCCGATCACACCCAATCATCGGGGTCGCAGCGAGCAAGTGATCGCCTGCATGGGTACCTGCACCAGGAAACCCAGCAATCTGACGCTTCCCCCCCAGCGAGGGTAGGGAGGGTTGAACAGCCGCCCCGGGGGGTGCTGACCCTTGAGCCGCCCAGTGAGGACGCTCCTGTCCCAGCGAGGGACCAGCAAGGAGTTTGGAAACAGGATCCGGCGGTGAATCCTTAACTGGAGAGCCTGTGTCGCGAAGTTTACCAGCTAGTGCCGATGCGATACACTGTAGCATGGCTTCAGGTCGTCGAGCGTCCCCCGGCACGGGACGATCCGGTTTAGGGTGATGGGTGTGTGTGCAGGTCTTACCCTCCCAGGATTGGAGGGGAAGATTCGTCACGGCTCTAGACGGACGACTAAAGACCCAACCAAAGGAACACAGATCAAAGTGCAGAATACGAAGACCTAAATCTGAGGTCCAAGCACGCAGAGCCGAAGTGGCCCAGGCCGATGAGGAGCGTCGTTTGGACGGAGAAGTGGCTCCTCGCGCAGGGTCCTCAGCCATCTCCAGAAAACAGAAGACCTTAGTAGGTGCATTAGACGAAGTCGCCTTGAAGGCAAGCCAGGTAAGCAGAAGGAACCTAAGGAGCAGAGTGCTCTCCTCATCCGCCGAGTGGAGCGTTGCCTCAGGGAGAGCGGCAATCCCCCAGGCGTTCTCCGCCGAGCGGGACCTAACTGCCTGGAGAGTACCCGAGTCCTGAAACCATCTATCCAAACCCCAGGTGTTGAGGTCCGGGCATCCTCCCACAAAGGAGATGCTTCCTTGCAGCGCCGACGCACAGAGAGACCCAAACAGTGTGTTATTAAGGAGGTCCTTACCAGGGGGCTTCCTAGAGGAATCTAAGGCCAGAACTCTCGAGGAGAGGTCTGGGGCTTGAGCATGGAGGATCGCTTCAAGGGATGAAGCATCCTCACGGCCCGCGAATGGCAAGATTATGGCACCCTGAGGAATGCTGGCAGTGCAATCGGAGGGGGACCACTGGAGTCTCCGGACCAGGCGGTCGGGGACCCCATTCAGCCATTCAGGAGAACAATTTGCAGGCAGAGAGCCCGGGTAATGTTCCTCAATCCAAGGCCCGAGAGAGAAGGGCTTGTCATCCGAGGGAGCGCTACCAGAGGGCTGCATGCCCACATGAATGGTGTTCCCCCTTGGCGCGGGGGCGGTCTTCCCAGGGAGATCGCGATCTGTCCCGTGCCTGTACTCCTTCAGGGCCAAGGGCACCTGGTGTGGAGAGGGCACCACGTGTCTCCACTTCCGGCATGTCTCTTAGTTCAGGGCCAAGGGCACCTGGGACTGGAAGTCCTCACTTGTAGGGACAGTTGTCCGGACTGTGCTCATTCGGAGGGGCATTGCACACCCAACCGTCTTTAGTGACCGGGCAGTTGTGGGAGCGCCCACAGTTTCCGGGGCAATGCTTCTTGATGTGATAATCTCGGCAGAAGGGGGTGCCCTTAGGATTATGCCTGGACCAGGACTGCGGCCAGGAGTCTTTGCCCTTGCCCTTGGGCGTGCCCTTCTTACCATCTCTGCTTGAGAAAGGGCTGATACACAGGCTGGTACGCTGGCCAGGTTTGCTTGCCTTTCCAGGACCCCTTGCCCGGGGCTTTGGCGAAGGGAGTGCCTTTCTCACCCTTCGGAGTGCCCTTCGGACCCTTCTCCCCAGGCCGAGGCACGCGCTCGTAGACTTCCCTTGTCCAGAAGAGGGCATCAGCACGAACTTCCATCATGGCCTCTTTGAGCGATTTGCCCTCGTAAACCAGATTGTGGATGGCTCTCCAAGCGTTTCGTTCAGCGTAAAGGAGAGTTTTCTCCGACGGGGCTGGAGTCCGCCCCGCAATGTCCGGACCCCAGAACCAGTCATACCAGTCATCCAGGTCATGCTTAGACGCATCGAACTGCGAGAACTGGGGGAAAGCAAGAAGACACATCGAAAGATTGTTGCGGAAGACGCGGTGCATCCTTTCCAGGTGTCGCCGAGTGGTCGGGAGCTTCCGCTCCTCTTCCTCCTCTTCTTTATCCCAGCCGTCTACTGTCACTTTTCGCCTTGTCTTGAAAGGCTTCTCTTCAAGCTCTGGCAAGGCACTGATGATGTATTTCGCATTGATGAAGCCGAGTTCTCCTTTGGAGCAGAAGCGGAACTGCGCCTTGAGAAGGTTGTCACTTCCCTGGGCCTCAAGTTTGGGCTTCGGGAGCCCCGTTTCCTTAGTCCAATCCGTGAGGAGCTGATGTCGGTCACAAAGCACTTCGAGGCCTGATCGATCCGAAGAAGCCTGGCCAGGCGTGACACTGGATCGAGGTGCATAGAGGTTCTTGGTCATTTCCTTAGCCGCTTTGATTGCCTGAAAGAGACGCATGGCAGTGAAAGCGCTGCTTTGATCTGTGAAGCCATTGGTTC